AAAAAGTAATATTAAAAAAAGTAGATTGCCAGTCTCGTCTTCTGAGGCACTTCTGTTGTTCTTAGGTGCTGTCGAGTCAACTATAACTTATAGAGACTCTATGAACAACCTTGATCTGAACCTTGCCCTAATCCTGTGCCGTCTTATCGTCTCTGATACACTTGAGTCCATAGTGACAGTCACTGTATTCATATACCCCTCTTCCAGCCTAAGATGTGAGCTGGCTAGAAGGCTCATAAGGGGTCCTATTGAAGGCTCATAAGGGGTCCTATTCATCTTCGCAACCCTAGCTCCATCCTAGTCCCCGGCACAGAGGTGGGGGTATGTGGGATAAATGTTTCCTGAACTGGTGAATGAATTGTAACAAACAATAGGTGGAGAATCATTGTGCAGCCAGCAAGATGCAGGAGGTCAAAAAGAGGCTGAAGTTGCAGAGGGTGGGAGTGCCAGGGAAACTGAGGCATGACTCGGCCTCCAGGTGCAGGGAGAGGTTTTCCTCAGCTAGAAGCACTGACTGGGCCAGCAAAACTCCACACAGCTTTTCTCAAATTTTCAAGTAGATCCCTAGAGTGTTAACAAATTCTTAACATGGATAGAAGTCCTGCATTTGGGTTCAAAACCAAAAAATTCTACCTTGTTCCAAGTAAGTGAGATTTGCCTTTAAAGCTGACTGTATTAAAAACAACAACAATAACCCAAAACCACAACAAACACAGAACAGGAAAAAAGCCCATGTTTGTACTTTTTCTCAATAAAGAACTCAGCCTAAGTCCCAAGGACACAGTTCACACCATCTGAGGCAGCACATTTGGACCTCCTTCCCACATTAGGCCAGTGAGTACACGTAGGGCCATACCTGGAGCAACCCAGAGCCACCCACACAGACCTGTACCATAGAGTACAGAAGGGTGTTGAGAAGGGATCCTCAGGCAAGGGATTGAAACTTTTTAACAAAGGAAGATGCTGAATGAGTCCAGAATCACCATGATGGGACGAGATGAGGGGACCGTGAGAAGGACAACGTGCCTCGAAACAACAGTCGTGTGGCGGTAGAGTGTCTTAATTTGTAGATTGTTCCAAAATTGGCCAAGTTCCCAGGAGGTGAGGGTGGGTGGCTGAACAACAGTGAGCTAGGGAGATTTCTGCCCAAGACACAATTTGGACCAAACTACCCGATAGAGCACTGGACTGGAGCTAGAAAAATAGGGTCCCTCTCACTTTTTACCTGTGTGAGTCGGCCCTTCATTTTCTGTTGTTGTTGTTAAGTGCCGTCAAGTCATAGACAATCATAGTGACCCTATGAATGAAAGATCTGAACATTTGTATAACTTTCATTGTTTCTCCAAGTTCTATTATCTATAGAAATATCTTACCTGCCTTTCTCCACTTGGATGTTTTGAGCATGCTGTGACATGATCTAAAGGGAGCAGTTGCAATGATGTGGGGATGGCCGCGTCTGACTTCTAACCACTTCATAAAGGGGAACTTCCCCATCAATAATATCCATAGCAGCAAACAGCTGCTCAGACACACCACCTCCCACGCTCCTCCACCTCTTTCTTCAACAGTCATTCAGATCTGATACTCAATGTTGACTCACAGACTACTCACAGTTGTGGTACCAATATTGGAGCTTATTAGGGAAATAAATTGGAGAGTGGAGGAGGCAAAGAACATCACCAGAAGTCCCAAACCAGATAAACAGCAAAACACAATTCCCCAATTAGTAAAAGTCCCAGATGCAATTCAGTAGCACAAATCCAAATCATTCCCCAGCAATAATAACGAAGTTCAACAGGGCAGAAAATAACATATGCTGGCGAGGTTGTGGAGAAATGGAACTCTTATTCACTGCTAGTGGGGATGTAAAATGGCACAGCCACTATAGAAGGTGGTCTAGTGCTTCTTCAAAAAGTTGGAAATAGAAATAGCATTTGACCCAGCAATTCCACTACTGGAAATATACCCTAAAGAAACCAGATCCATGATTCAAACAGACGTATGAACACCCATGTCTATGGCTGTGTTATTCACCATAGCAGAGAGATGGAAGCAACTCAAGTTGGCTGTCAACAAATGATTGGATTAAAAAACCATCCTACACTCACACAATGAAATATTATGCAGCACTGAAAAACAATGAACTCATAAAACATTACACAACATGGGGTAGCCTAAAGGACATTATGCTGGGTGAAATATATCACTCACAAAAGGACAAATATTGCACAACACCACTGTCATAAAATAGGACAAACATGGGAGAGGGAGGTTGTGGAGACAGTGAGAAAAGAGTGGATAGAAAATGAACACTGCATTAGAATAAATGAGGGAATAACTTTCTAAAAGGAATATATAATGTGGCATTATACGTATGACAACAATATGGAACAAAGGGTGCATTGCAGGGTGGACTGGGGGAAGGGGAGGGGGAGAAAATGTGCAACAATGAATCAAAAAAACTAGTTTTAAGACCCTAACAAAATAAAATAAATCCAAATCACCCAGTAAGGTTTGCCTTAGAGCAGTTACAAATTAGCTTCTCCTTCAATCATCTGGCAAGCAAAACCTTTAACTGTGGACAGCACAAAGGCCTCAAGTTACACTTTGTGGCACTCTCTCCACGCAATGCCACAGTCTCTCCACAAGGTCTCCACTACCACCAGCAGTGGAGTCTCACTCTACAGTGTCGAGAGCACTCTCTCTCTCTTATATTACTTCAACAGCTGTTGATGATTTGCAAGACCACGTATCCACAGTTAAGGTAAATGGAGACCAGTGAGGGCTACTGTAATGGCCAGAAAAGCCAACTCTTAAACTAAAACCACATGCTGTCTGAGAGAAAACCAAACCTTCCACTGAGTTGATTCCAACTCAGCAAATTTGTAGAACAAAGTAGAATTTCCCCAGAGGGCTTCCAAGGTTGTAAATCTTTACGGGAACAGACAATCATCCTTTTCTGCCATGCCATGGCTGGTGAGTTTGAACTTCTGACTTTCTGGTTATCAGCCAGACTTTTTAACCACTATACCATCAGGGCTCCTAGAATATGGGAGAAAATAAAAATCTCATTGAGTTGGGACCTAGCCATGTCTGACCTTCCATTGGATTTCTGAGGTGGTTAAGTGGCCATATAAAAGGGAAGGATCGCCATGAGTCAGCTATGATTCAACGGCACCTAACAACAATAACAACAACATAGAGAGAACTATGTTGGCCTAGTGGACAGAAAGTTATGCTACCAAGCCCAAGGTGGGTGATTTTAATCTGTGGCACTCAGGCCTGGTTCAAATTGGGTTGTTTTTTTTTTTTTGTCAAACATTCTTCTAGGTGGTACAGCACTGATCTATGCATTGCTGTACAAAGGTAACTCATGGTTGCTGTGATGCTAAACACTATGACACTAATGTGCCAAACGTGGTAATGGTTACCCATGGTGGACAGTGTTTGATGGAGCTTCCTGATTAAGACAAGCTTGGAAGCAGCAGTGGCATCCACTTCCGAAATGGCTTGCCTCTGGAAAATCTTATGAATAGTGCTCAGGTCTTTCGTTCATAGGATCATTATGAGTCATCTATGACTCGATGGCACCTAACAACAACAACATCAAGTGGCACAAGAGGGTATTACTCATCTTTCTTCCTTAGAGCAGCTATTGGATTAAAAACACCAGAGGTGTGGTCATTGGGTTAGCAGCTCAACTCCCTAAGAATTGTGCCTCCAGAGCTTCTAAAGTATATGAGGTGGTTGTTAGGCTTTAAGTCAACTCTGACTCATAGTGACCCTATGAACAACACGTGGGAATCCTGTGTCGTCTTCATGACCTCCACCATGCTCAAACCTATCATGGTAGTCTCTGTGTCAATCTTTCTTTTAAGGATCTTCCTCTCTTTGTTGACCTTCGACTTTTCAGCCTGGTATCTTTCTCCAAGGACTAGCCAGCCCCTCCTAACAGCATGACCAAAGCACATGAGACTACATTTCAACATCTTTGCCTACAAAGAGCACTCTTGTTGCACTTCCTTTGAGACAGACATGGGATGTTCAATATTTTTTACTAGCAGCACAAGTCAAAGGCATTGGTTCTTCTTCCGTCTTCCTTAGTTATTGTTCCATTTTCAGGTTCATTGGAAACAGCCTGATTTGAGCCAGGTATACCTTACTGATAGCCTTGATAATAGATTTTTCTCAGTGCAACATATCTTTTGATTTCTTGATTGCTATTTCCAATGCGTGTTGATTGTTGAATCCACATAAAACTAATGGAAACTTCAATTTTTTTTTCTCCATCTATCATGACATTGCTTAGTGATCCAGTGGTGAGGATTTTTGTTTTCTTGAGTTGAGAGGTAACCCAAAACTGTAGTCTTTGAGGCCCAGCACTGACCTTCACCACCTACACACTCAGGCCGCTTCTCTCACAAACCCATACACATATGCAGCACGGGAGGAGCTCGCGCCCTCTACTGGCAGGCTGCCCTCTGCTCAGTTGAGGTGCAAACCCAACCCACTTGAGTTCACCTAAACTTTACAGTCACCTTGGCCACCAACCCACCACATGACCATCAATCCCCCGTCCCCTCCAGCACCCTAGCTTCTCCTTCTGTAAATGGAAGTGGTGACCTCTTTGGAGGAACAGGAAGGTTCCACGCGCACTGGTACTAAATAGCAAGCAGCATCACGTCTGAAGGCTGGCTGTGCCTCAATGTAGTTGTATGACCTCAAGTAATTACTCAACCTCTCTGTGCCTAGTTTACAACAGTGTAACCCTGGGAAAACTATACATCCCTGCAGGCTCATTTGTGAGGACTAAAAGAGATACCACCGAGGACTCATTCCACACAGAGGCGCACAGTAAGTGTTCTTAGTTACTACAGCGTGTGCTGGGGAGGGGGGGTCTTGAGGACGCTAATGCACCACTTCAGAGGATATGGGGTCTTTTGTAAGATTCTCCAGCACAGATTTTATTGGAAGAAATTAAAGGGGAGAGTTAGGGGTCTGTAGATGGGGTGGGTACCACCCTGAATGAAACAGTCAACAGAGAGAAGTGGGGGAATGAGAGACGACCAGACCCTTTCTGAATCAAAGGGGTACAGGGGTGCAGGAGTTTCCCCTAAAGTCCTGGGGTGAGTTTCCAACCCCCACCCCGGGAGGGGGTGTCGCCTTCTGAGACCAGGGGTGGGTTTCCAGGCCCCGGGTCTGGGAGAGGGTCGGGGAGCAGGCACTGGGGGTCCCAGCCTCCTTGGCCCTCAGTGCTGATGCGCGCCCCCGCCCCCGCCCCCACCAGGCGCGCCGTCGCAGCGCTGGTCCATGCAGGTGCCGGCAGAGGTGAGCGCGGCGGCGGGCGAGGCGGCAGTGCTGCCCTGCACCTTCACGCACCCGCACGGGCACTACGCGGGGCCGCTGACCGCCATCTGGCGCGCGGGCGAGGCGGCAGTGCTGCCCTGCACCTTCACGCACCCGCACGGGCACTACGCGGGGCCGCTGACCGCCATCTGGCGCGCGGGCGAGCCGTACGCGGGGCCGCAGGTGTTTCGCTGCGCGGCGGCGCGGGGCAGCGAGCTGTGCCTGACCGCGCTCAGCCGCCACGGCCGCTTCCGCCTGCTGGGCAACCCGCGCCGCAACGACCTGTCCCTGCGCATCGAGCGCCTCGCCGCCGCCGACGCCGGCCGCTACTTCTGCCGCGTGGAGTTCGCGGGCGACGTGCACGACCGCTACGAAAGCCGCCACGGCGTCCGGCTGCGCGTCACCGGTGAGCGGGCGGGGCCCCGGGCGCGCTCTGCCGGGCGGGGAGCACTGCGCTCGGGCCCTTCTTTCCTGCCTGCGCCCCAGGGCTCCCCGTGAGCCACCCGGTCCCTAGGGCTCCCAGTGTGCCACTAGGTCCACAGGGGTCCCCATGTGTCACCCGGCCCGCAAGGCACCCCGTGTGCCACCCGATCCACAGGGCTCCCCATGTGCCACTAGGTCCCACTGCTTCTCATGCCCTTCTCCACAGGGCTCCCCATGTGCCATCTGATCTGCAGGGCTCCCCGTGTGCCAGTCGGTCCCTAAAGCTCCCTGTGTACCATCAGGTCCCATTGCTTCTTATGCCCTTCTCCGCAGGGCTCCCCATGTGCCAGCCGGTCCCTAGGGTTCTCCATGTGCCACCAGGTCCGCAGGGCTCCCCATGTGCCACCCAGTCCCCTGAGCTCCCTGTGTGCTGCCGGGTCCCCAGGGCTTCCCATGTCCAGCCATTGTGCCAGCCGCTGGGGTTCGTACACAAGCCCTGCCCCCAGTCCCCTGCAAAAGCTCTTCCTTATTCCGAGGACCGAGGACCGTGATGTCGCCGCCTTCTCTCCCGCAGCAGCGCCCCGGATCGTCAACATCTCGGTGCTGCCTGGCCCCGCGCACGCCTTCCGCGCGCTCTGCACGGCCGAGGGGGAGCCGCTGCCCACCCTGGTCTGGTCCGGCCCAAGTCTGGACAACCGCTCAAACGCCACACCAGGCCCGGCTCACGGCCACCAGGTGACCGCCGAGCTGCCGGAGCTGACCCACGACGGGCGCTACACGTGCACGGCGGCCAGCAGCCTGGGCCACGCCGAGGCCAGCGTCTACTTGTTCCGTTTCCACGGCGCCGGCGGGGCCTCGGCGCTCGCCCTGTCGCTTGGCGCTCTCGGCCTCAAGGCGCTGCTGCTGCTCGGCGTCCTGGCTGCGCGCGCTGCCCGCCGCCGCTCAGGTGGGTGTACGCAGCGAGAATTGGGCCTCGCCGCCCGGAGGCAAAACCCTAAATGTCTATTGCGCCTTCGCTTCTGCTCACACTTTCTCTTTGTATCCAGCCCCAGAGGTGGGGGAACCCGCTTGAACCCCATTTTGCAATACAGAGACTGAGGCTGGGATTGCGAGAGTTGAACTTGGTTCTTGCCTGGGGCCACAGTGCTGAAACGTGGGCCTGCCTTCAAAGTCAGTCCAGATTCTCGATGACCCAGTGCTCGTCTGAGTAAAACTGTGATCCCTAGTGTTTTAGTGGCTGAGTTTTTCAGAAGCAGACCGCCAGGCCTTTCTTCCTAAGCACCTCTGAGTGGATGCAGGCAATCTTTTCATTAAAAGTCAAGCCTGGTGACCGTTTGTGCCACCCTGGGACTCGTTCCCATGGCTTTACCATCAGTCATCCATCACCATCAGTGAGTCCCCTGGAAGGGTTCTGGGACATGCTTTCCCAGACGGCATCATCATTCACTTACTTTGTGGCTGGCATCTTGAGTGCTTGCTGCGTGCTGTGCTCAGACGCTGTGCTGAGTGCCGATGGTCCCTGCCCTCAAGAAAATAATTGCCTTGTGCGCAGAAGTGCCTGCGGCTTTGCACAGAGGTCTGGAGGAAAGCCTTTACCCAAGAAGAAGGAGGTTAAACTGAAATATGTAAGTCAGCTTGAGGCAGGAGGACAGAGCAAGCGGCATCCCGTGGCTGTGCAGAGCAGTGGGCAGTGACCAGCATGGTGTCTGGGGGACTGCAGTTTGTCCCACAATGAGGTGGCAGAGCTGGAAGGAACATTTGATTCTTGCCCAGAGAGGGGACTTCCAAGCACGTCTCACACACCCATCCCCAATCTCCTACCCAGGGGCCTGAGTCTTCAGCACTGACCTCACACAGCCCTGAAATGGAATCAAAGCTGCCCTGGTCACTCACACCTGATTTTCCCCAGCTCTGCGATGTCACCAAGTATCTTGTGTCTCAGGGATGGTCTAACAGTGGTTCATTTTCGTGGACCCCTTTGTTACATCCTTTACCGCATTAACTCGGGCTTGTCTTTCAGATTGAGGCTCACCTGGCACTTCTTCCCACCCTCTAGGCTGCTGTTGGTTGTATTTTTCACCATGGGGGGAGGTGCCGGTGGGCAGGCGCGCTGGGCAGTGCATGGGGCTTGGAGATTCACACCATTTTTTTCTCTGTCCCTCACACAGAGCACTCTGATACCCTGGACACCTCACCACGGTAAGTGAGCCCCTCAGGGACCCAGTAGAGGAGCAGGCTGGGGGTGAGGTGCCTGTGAGGCCTCCTGAGAAGTCAGGAAAGCAGCTGGAGTGCAAGTGACAGGCTTGGAGACCACAGATGAGGCACCTTTGGGAGAGGGTGTTGGTGGAAGAGAGAAGAGTGGAGACTCCATGGCCTGGGATCTGTGCCCAGCTGCAGCCCCATTCTTCCCCGTTCACCAGATGCTAGCAGGTCCTGCCTCTTCTATCTGCTCAGTCTCCAAGGCTGTGGGCTCCGGCCCCACTGCACTTCCTCCGAATCTCCTCTCTTCTTTCTGCCCATCACTGGGATACGGTTGGTCTGGTGGGCACCTCCCTTCTGAGCTGTATGGTCAGTCAACTTTCTCCTGTCTGCAGGCCCCAGGCTCAGGAGTCCAGCTATGAAAACTTGAGCCAGATGGGCCCCCGGACTCCACCAGCAGCCATGTGTTCCCCATGTTCTCCTTGACGAACCACTTGGGCCACTGGGAGCCTCTGTGCACCAGGAGGAAGGCCAAGGGAGGTGTGGCTGGGACAGCTCCAGGGACCCAAGTACCTGACCCTGGGGAATCAAAGCCCCACTCACGGATACTCAGCTGCTCTCCTCCATGGACTTCTCTGTCTCAAAGCCCCTGGTAGTATGACATTAGGCCCAGCATTTCTCAGGTTGGATGGGTAAGTGGGTGTGTTCATGCACGTATGGACTTCAGAGTGTGCAAATGTAAACAGCTCTGCGACCTGGAACACCATCTAAACACAGACAGGAAGTTAACTACGCGTCTGGAGTCTGAGGCTTCTTTACGAACTTGTTGTGTAGACTGAGACACCTTCTTCACATCTCTGGATCTCCATTCACCTGCTGTCAATCATGGACGCTAATACTCTTCTCCTACGCCAGCTGGCAGGACTAGAAAGATCGGAGGAAATTATGGATGAGGAGTGGCTTGAGAAAGCTCAGCGCTGCCTACAGATGTGGGGGCATTCTCGGGCCTTGCTTGCTGAGCGAGGATGGACCTGTGGACCTTATATATGTGGCCTCAAGGGCAGCCTTGGCAGCAGCAGAAGGTTCCACAGGACAAGCCTGGGTGGGGATCCCGGGCTGAGCCTCTATGAACCTGTGGTCAAATTCCAGGATGTTCCTGTAGCAACTTTACAGCCTCTGTGTGCCTTATAGGCCATTTGCTGCCCAGCGCTGCTTGAGCTTGGACCCCTGAGAAAACAAAACACCCCTGACTCAAGGTTCTTGACATTCACTGTCCCCAGAGGCCAGAAGCTGGGATACCTGAGTCTTCAGGATCCCCTGAGGCTGCAGGGTCTCCATAGAGCAAGCAGCTGCAGCTCTGCTTCTCCAGAGTCCTTTTAGCATGTGCCAAGTTCAAAGGCACTGGGAGTCTCCCCCCATTTGGCCTCCTCCTCCTGATTCAGATAGATGGCACATATTTATACATTGATGGCAATTAGTTCACCACTTCAGCTCCTGCAGTGTCTGAGGATTAGGGGAAAATGAGCGGACCAGTTTGGGACCCGAATGAGCCATAATAGGAAAGGACCAGAAATGCGGGATGGACAGGCAGTGGGAACAAACCTTCTTCCATTGGATCTTTTCTAAAGGCTAGATGTTAACAAGATTTATATAGGGTCCTGTCTGATACTCTTCCAGAGAGATGGCCCGATGGTTGAAGGGTCTCTGAAAGTTAATGAGCAGGTCAGGAGTTAACAACTTGCCCCTCCATCAGTCCTGTCCAGGGCAACGGGGCTGTGAGAGCTGCAGGTGAAAGGTGCCGGAGCAGGAGGTGGAGGTAGCGGGTGGACAGGACTGAGGCTGGAACAGTGGACAGGTAAGATGTGAGGCTGCTGGTGCTGCCACCAGCAGAGATGAGTGATGGAAGGAATCAGGATGGCCCAGGCTCCTTGTGCTGCCTGGCATGGCTGCTTTCTCCATGTGACCTTCTCCAGATGCCTTGGGACTGAGGTTTCTACTCTTTGACCTTGGACTAGAAGCAGTTCCCTCAGTGGATTCCCCCAGTCACTTGCATCAGGAACACAGAGCGCTGTTCAGATGCATGTTCTGAGAGCACTCACCAGCCAGGGAGACTGAGTCACAGGCTCTGAGGACACGACCAGGAATCTTAGCAAGCTCTCCAGGTTATGTCTTCCCCGCAACTTCGTATTATGATCATGCTCTAAGATATTAAAAATTGTTTGATGGTACACACACAAAAAATAATAATAAAAAAAATTTTTTAAGTTGCTGGAATTCATGCCCCCCACCACCACCTCCGTTAGTTATAAACATTTTGCCGTATATTTACTGAGCCATTTGGGAGTAAACTGCAAAGACGACAGTACTTCACCCATAAATACTTTAGCTACCCCTCCTGTACAACCAGATTTACCCTGGAGAGGGTTAAACCAGTTTGCTCCTTGGAGGCAAGGATTCTGAGGCTTCATCTGATATACTTCGGACATGTTGTAAGGAGGGAGAGGTCCTTGGAGAGGGACATCATTCTTGGGAGGGTGGAGGGACGGCGCAGAATGGGAAGACCCTCTATGAGGTGGATTGATTCAGTGACTGGGGTAATCGGGATGGGTGTGTCAGAGGCAGTGAAATTGGCACAGGATAGAGCAGGGTTTAGGGCTATTATACATAGGGTCGCTATGAGTCGCAAGCGACTCGACGGCACATAACAACAACCCCTCCTAAAACCAGGAAACATCTCCAATAACCTCAATACCATGACCACTTGGGAATCTTCACAACCAGACAAACATGGTTCTGCCATTGGGAAAATAATTTTGGGAGGTGGTTGGAGTGGAAAAAGCAGTTTTATTATATGTTCTAGTTTATAGGAGACAGAGTATGAGTTTCTCAAATCTGTCTTTGCCAGGGAAAGTTCTGAGGGGATATGTATAGGCTGGGCAAAGAGCACGGGGAAGAGCTCACATTTATGAAACACGTTTATGAGCTCTAGTGGGTAAGGAGTTGTGCTGACAATGCAAAGGCAGGAAGTTCAAATCTACCAGCTGCTCTGAGAAAGATGGGGATTCTCCTCCCATGTGATACACAATTTCTGACAACCTCTTGGAGGCATGGGCTTGGTGACAATGACTGAGTTTAAGAGGGGAAAGGGGAAATGGAATTATCTTTTGAAAAAATAGAGACTATTATGCAAATCAGTAGGCACTCCAAACTGCCCTCCAAATAAGGCCCACCCAGCTGGTTTCCTCTTTCAAGGAGTCTGTCTGTCTGATCTGGTTATCATAATGCCTTTTCAAGATGGCTGCCCCCAGAAGGTCATAAACTTGTGTCTTACATGACACCTGAAACCCCTAGGACAGCTGAAGGTTGTTAAACGAGAACACCTGGGAGTACACAGGCTACTCATGTAGGGTGTGTTCTTTGACCTTGTGATGTCAGCATTAGCTCAAGGCTGGGAGTCTTTGTCTGAACTATCTCAGGGGAAAACATGCTTTGATTTAGCACAGCATGTAAATAGGAAAACAAAATGGGAAGACAGGAAAGTCTGAGACTCAGAGCAAACCTAGTTAAAGGCCATCTTTGGTCCAAGGTTAGAAAGTCCTATTATGTTCACTGTAAGAGAATGGTGTTCAGGTAGAATTCAGGGTGGACAGGCAAACCCAGCAAAGGATTTGAACCTGATAGGGAGGGCCTCCTCAGAATTGCTTGGATCCGCCATTAACCTTTGGCACCAGCAGCCAGGAAATCAAAAACACTGAGAAAGTCCACTGTCAGGGACCTCGCCAAGTGCTGGAAAGCAGTTTGAAGACTAAGATGCACCGGATCGAAACCATCATCATCATCTTTTTCAATCACTTACTGTGCACCTGTACGTTGGACAATAAGTAAGGAGACAAAAGAATTGATGCCTTGAAGTCATGGTGTTGAAGAAGAGTGCTGAATGGAGATCCCATGGAGAGGGAGGTTGGACTTGCTGAGAAAGAAGGCAAGGAGACAAGAATGGAAGTGAAAGTGGAGGTTATTTTATTAGAGGGAATGGAAGTACGTTCCAAAGAAAGGAATGGGTCCTCTACTGGGGGAGGGGAGCACTCATGGTCAAGTGGCAAGAAGCTGCACTGCAATCCAGAAGGCATATGGTTCAAGGCCACCAGCTGTTCTACGGGAGGATGATGGGCAAGCTCCTCTCATGCTGAACTGAAAACCTGCTGGAGGGTCAGCTATGGGTCAGTTTCAACTCTAAGGTACACAACAACAACAACAAACTGGGGGAGAGGATGATGTGATACGTAGCCAGTCTTCTCCCTCCTGGGGCATGTTTTATGCAAATCAGGTGAGTGGCGTTTGGACCACTGAAGTGATGTTGCTGGAAGTACTCACTCCAATCAACTGGTCATGATGTCATGAAATTGATTGAGGCTCAGTGTCAAGAAGACAAAGATTCTCACCACTGGACCAATTGGCAGCATCAGGATGGATGGTGAAGAGATTGAGATTGTTCACAGCTTTAG